AAGCTGACCATGAGCCAGCAGGGTGCCCTGGTTGCCAAGAAGGCCAATGGCATCCTGGGGTGCATTAAGAGGAGTGTGGCCAGCAGGTCGAGGGAGGTTATCGTCCCCCTCTACTCTGCCCTGGTGAGACCCCACCTGGAGTACTGTGTCCAGTTCTGGGCGCCCCGGTTCAAGAAAGATGAGGAACTCCTAGAAAGAGTCCACAGGAGAGCAACTAGGATGATAAAGGGACTGGAGCATCTCTCCTATGAGGAAAGGCTGAGAGAGTTGGGCTTGTTCAGCCTGAAGAAGAGAAGACAGAGAGGGGACCTCATCAATACATACAAATATCTTAAGGCTAGAAGTCACGAGGACAGAGCCAGACTCTTTGCAGTGGTGTCCAGTGACAGGACAAGGGGCAATGGGCACAAATTGAAACATAAGAGGTTTCAGTTGAATGTGAGGAAGAACTTCTTTACTTTGAGGGTGACAGAGCACTGGCACAGGCTGCCCAGGGGGGCTGTGGAGTCTCCTTCTCTGGAGATATTCAAAGCCCACCTGGACGATGTCCTGTGTAACATGCTCTAGAACCTGCTTTAGCAGGGGGTTGGATTGGATGATCTCCCACGGTCCTTTCCAACCCTTGCCATTCTGTGATTCTGTGAAATTAATTTTGCAGCAGGTCTAAAGGTGATGATATTAAGCAGATTATATGTAGCTGCTGACTAAGTCAGTGCTTATTTTGGCATACGTGCCTGAACCTGACATCCAAGTATCAGAAATACAACTATGTCCCCTATAGCCCAATATGCTATTTTACCAGAAATAGGCTATACTTATGTAATAGCCCATCTACTTTTAACTTTGCGACACAGCATGCAAAATCGTCTTAGGACAGCAATAAATACAGCGCCTCAGAAGTTAATATTGAAGCCCCAATAAATTTAGATTGTTGAACTATGCTAATATTTACAAATGACACACCAAACAGAGACCCATAACCTCTCCAAGAGTTCTGATGCTCATGTAAAGGGCTGTGTAACACATGTACGCAGATACATGTGCAGATATCTACCAAAAGTCTTGGGAGTCTGGGGAGGTCTCCATGGACTGGAAGCTAGACAATGTTATTCCGATTTACAAGAAGGACGTGAGGGAAGACCCAGCAAACTGTAGACCTCTTAGTCTAGCCTCAGTTCCTGGAGAAATTATGGAGAAGATTATACTGGGTGCTATCGAAAGGCATTTAAAGAACAATGCAATCATCAGGCACGGTCAATGTGGGTTCACAAAGGGAAAGTCCAGATTAGACTAATTTGATCTCTGTCTATGGTAAGGTCACCCACCTAGTGGATGAAGGGAAGGCATTGGATGTAGTTTTTCAGGATTTTACTAAGGCTTTTGATTTTGTCCCTCACAGCATCCTTCTGGACAAGTTGTCCAACTGTGGGATGAGCGGGTTCGTCATGTGCTGGGTGAAGAACTGGCTGAAGGGCAGGGTTGTAGTGAACGGGGCTACACCTGGCTGGCGGCCGGTCACCAGCGGTGCTCCTCAGGGCTCAATTCTAGGCACAGTTCTGTTCCTTGTATTTATCAATGATCTGGATGC